ATTGAGTTCAGTTGTTCCTGGGTTGTTGCACTTCAGGACTTGGCCATTGGGCCTAGATCTTTCCATGAGATATCATGAGACTTGGTGAGGGATATGTGTGGGACACCTGTCTCCCAATGACGGTATAGGTGGGATGCATCCGCTGGGAGATGTACCAGCAGGACCATTTTGCCTCTGGAGTCCCATAGTAAGTCTGTCAATGTGATGTGAATGCTGGGCCCTTGCAAAATCTAGCAGCATAGGAAAACACTAGAAACACAATAAATTCATAGCTCAGCAGGGATAACTTCTTCTGGAGCAGGCACTTTCTTGCAGTGTGAGGCGTGTATCCAGGAACTCTTCCCGGCCAATTTAACTGAGGTAGCTGTGATTAGGAGCACTTGGTAAGGACCATCAAATCTTGGCTCGAGGGTGTGTTTCCTGAGAAATTTCTTGACCATAACCCAATCACCAGGAAGCAGCTTGTGTGTACCTGTATTCGACTCAGGATCTGGAATAGAAGAAAACACCTGGGCATGGATTTTGGTCAAGGCATGAGAGAGAGCAGTTACATAATCTACCATAGCATCTGACTGAATCTGGAGTTGTTGGGGGAAATAACAACCTAACCTTGGTGCTGTGCCAAACAAGATCTCACAGGGATATAAGTTGTATTTTCCCCTAGGGGTATACCTTACACTAAATAATGCTAATGGAAGACTCTCAGGCCAAGGCATGTTAGTTTCTTGGGACATCTTAAGCATTCTGGCCTTTAATGTGCCATTCATGCGTTCTACCTTACCACTACTTTGTGGGTGGTATGGTGTGTGGAATGCAAGGGTCACCCCCAGTGCTGACCAGGCTTCCCGTGTCAATGAGGCGGTGAAGGAGGTTCCTTGGTCACTTTCAATCACTTCTGGAACTCCATACCGGCAGACAATTTCCATCAGAAGGTGTTTGGCTGTGGTTCTTGCAGTGAGATTAGCCACTGGGAAAGCTTCTGGCCACCCTGAGAACATATCCACAATGACTAGTGCGTATTCATAACGTCCACTCTTTGGCATCTGGATGTGGTCAATCTGTATCCTCTGGAAAGGGTACTGGGGCTTGGCCAGGTGATTGGGTGCGGTTTTAACGATCTTTCCAGGGTTGCATTTGGCACATATTGTACAGGATCTACAATAATTCTGTGTCAGAGTAGTAATGCCTGGTGCTTCAAAGTATTTATCAATCAGGGAGTTCATCAGATGTTTTGACAGATGGGCTGGCCCATGAGCCCATTGGACAATGGCTGGATACATGTTTTTGGGGAGGCAGAACTTAAGATTGATAGTGTAAACATCATCTCGGAGAATGGCCCCTTTTTTCTTCCAACTTTGCTTCTCCTGAGGGGTGGCAGCTGCTTGCTGCTCTTTTAGAAGTCTGAGATCTGTAGGTAATGTCTGCATAGTGTAGATGGGTATGGTGTCAGTGGCCACTCTTCTGTCCACTTCCCACCCTTGTTGTGCTGCCTCCTTGGCGGCTTGATCAGCTAAGTGGTTGCCTCGGGCAGGGGCCACTCCTGGCAGTAGTGTGACCACAATGGGGGGAACTTTAAGGCGTCCAATATCATCTGGGCCAGTGGACCAGAGCTTTGCAGGGATCTTGTCCAGAGCACTGGGGGCATGAGGGACCCTTGATTCCCCTGTGGGTGATGCAAGATGTAATAGTATGGGGAGGGAACAAAGTACTGAAGTATCTTTTCGTGACAGGGGTGTATCTAACTGAACTTGGCCGTCTGCAGTAAAGGTAATGGAATTTTGCAGCCGAGACAGGACATCAGCACCCAAAAGGTTAATGGGGCACGTGGAGGAAACAACAAAATGTGAAAATATGTCTGATCCCACATGTAGGAGTTTTGTGAGCGGGCTATTACGGGGGGTACCGTCAACTCCAACACAGGAGACATCGGTATCTGACAGGAAGGATGGATCAGGCAGGTCTTGTTCACTAAGAACGCTACGGGCTGCACCTGTGTCAACTAGGAATGTAGTGGGATGACCCTCTACAGGTAGAACTACAGTGGCTAGTGGCCCACCCCCTGTAGACACTGCCATAGCAGGGGTAGCTGACACAGGCTTGCCGGTTACCTATTGCAACAAATCTAAATGAGCCTGGTCAGGGCCAGTATAGCGGCGTGAGGAGGTGGCAGGGAGGCCTGCCTGCATGGCAGGGCATGCTGTACGGTTCTTTCTAGGGATGGGCCGACCCTCTTGAAAATCATCAGTGTCAAACCCATCAGCAGGAACTGGAGGGTAAGCACGAACATCTGCAGGTGGTGGTGGAGCCTGAGAATATTCAGGAGGCGGAAAATGTGGCACTGGGGGAGGGGGTGGTGGCTGAAAGTACCCTGGAGGGAGATATCCATAAGCAGCGGCTGAAGGGTTAGAAAACCGGGGATGTACTGGCCGAAACATTGGGTGGGGACATTCCCTCCGGAAGTGGCCGGCTTGGTGACAATTCTAACAGGTCCTGGTTGCCATGGGTGTCCGGTCTCGTGAGGGAGAAGGGGTCTGTGGCACGTAGCCTTGGGTGGCATGGGCAGGTCCTGTGATAGGTGTTGTGTTGGTAAACATCAGTGGGCTAGCCCTCCTCTGTGTAGGTTGTAGCACTGACTCTAGACCTTTAGCAACTAACAAAAGAGTGTCTAGGGGGATGATTCTATACTCAGGGCGTGATAGGATTAAACCTTTGCGGATATGTTCCTTCAGACCAGCCACGAAGGCTGCAGACAACATCTGGGTGTGTGCTTTGTTATATGTACTAAACCCTAAGTCTGAAAAAGTCTGGGTTAGATGTGAATGATATTTCTCAACTGACTCAAGCTTGTCCTGAACAATGTCATTTATACAAGTGGCCTGGTCGGCTAACTTGTCTTGCGCCCAAGCCCGGAGTTGCTCACAAAACATAATACCGGACTGAAAATCTGTATCAGTGGTAAGAGGAGCATCACTGAAACTCCTCGCCATTATTGGCCAGTAGGCATCACCAGCTTTTATTTCACACAAACCATAAAGATCCCTCCATGCAGCGGAGTAGGTTTTGCGAATCTGAGCCATCCTGCGGAAGAAGGGCATTGGATGTTTCTCTGGGTCAGGGAGGGAAGTAACCAAGGTGGCAGCTTGTGATGGATTAAACGTGACATACATAGGTGGTGCACCGTCAGCACCAGGGGATGCCTGGGGGTATATTCCAGAGATGATATGTCTCCGTGGGAGTCTATTATTCTGAGGGTGGAGTGGACCATGCTCATCTAGATCAACCTCCCCGGGAGTAACGGGGCCCTGGAGGGAAGCAGCATCGGTGGAGGCGGGGGCTGGGACGGCCGGAGTGGCAGGGGTCGAGAGTCCCGTGATAGGTGACGTGTTTGGATGGAAACCTGAGGTGGGCGGGGAGACACCCGCCGCATAGGGTTGGCCCGAAGTTACTGACTCATCGGAACCGACCACCATGAGTGGGTAACTGGTGCTCACGGGGGGAGTACAAGGAACCAGGGCCATTGGAGGGGTAGGGGTGGGGGCAGGTTGGGCCGAACGTGACAAGTGAGTATTCAGGACATGGGCAAAGTCGGAGATTGGGTCAGAGGCGTCAGGGGGTAGGGGGGAGGGGGAAGACAAAGCAGGAGGACCCGGAATAGGAGGTAGGGGCGTAGCTGTAACATCGAGAGGTGTAGGAGGAGGAGCAGGAGTAGTGGGACGAACCAAGGATGAGAGGACAGAAAGGAGTGAAGACAGATCAGCGGAAGGAACGGGGGAATCAGAGGTGGTAGAGGAAGGGACAGGAATGGGGGGGTGGAAACAGTAGGGCGGGCTAGGGCCGTGAGGGCGAAGAGAAGAGATGAAAGGTCAGTAGGGGGAAGAGATGAAGACAACGTAGGATGGGTCAGGGCTGAAAGAGCGGAGAGGAGGGACGAGAGATCAGTAGGAGGAGAGGGAGGAGAAGAAGAGTCGGCAGTTGTAGGGGGAGGGATAGGAGTACTAGGGGCGGGGATGGTAGGATGGGTCAGGGCTGAAAGGGCGGAGAGGAGGGATGAGAGATCAGTAGGAGGAGAGGGAGGAGAAGAAGAGTCGGCAGTTGTAGGGGGAGGGATATGAGTAGTAGGGGCGGGGATGGTAGGATGGGTCAGGGCTGGAAGGGTGGAGAGGAGGGACGAGAGATCAGTAGGAGGAGAGGGAGGAGAAGAAGAGTCGGCAGTTGTAGGGGGAGGGATAGGAGTAGTAGGGGCGGGGATGGTAGGATGGGCCAGGGCTGAAAGGGCGGAGAGGAGGGACGAGAGATTAGTAGGAGGAGAGGGAGGAGAAGGAGAGTCAGCAGTTGTAGAGAGAGGGATGGGAGTAGTAGGGGTGAAGTTAATAGAATGGGCTAAGGCTAAGAGAGCGGAGAGGAGGGACGAGAGGTCAGTAGGAGGAGAGGAAGGCGAAGGGTCAGCAGGTGCAGGGGGAGGGATAGGAGTAGTAGGGGTGGGAACGGTAGGATGGGTTAGGGTTGTGAGAGCGGTGAGTAGAGATGAGAAGTCAGTAGGGAGGGGTGAAGGAGAAGAAGAATCAGCAGATGCGGGGGAGGAATAGTGGGATGGGTTAAGGCTGAGAGGGCGGAGAGAAGAGACGAGAGGCCAGTGGGAGGAGAGGAGGAAGAAGGAGAAGAAGAAGAAGAAGATGAGACTCGGGCAGTCGGGGTAGAAAGGGGAAGGGGTGGGGTAAGGACATTGGGAGGTAGAGCAGGAGCTGATGGGGCGGGATCTGGGGGCGAGGGGGCTGAGGTAGGAACAGGTAAAGACGGTGGGAGGGGCGGAGGACAAGGAGGTGGAGGAAATGGAGGGACATCGGTGGGGGTGACTGGAAGGAGGGCCGATGACAGGGTCTGGTCGGGGACAGTGGGAAGCTGGGAAAATAACTGAGCATGTGGGAAGGAATGGAGTGGCACTGGGTAGTAATAGGCTCCATCGGCTCCGAGCACAGGACATAGAGGGGTGGAGGCCTGAATCACACCCCCGGGGGGTGGCGTCTGGGCGGTAACGCGGGAAGCTGGGCGGGAATTAATCACCACGCTCTGGGCGCCATCATAGGGTGGTGGTCGGGAAGCAGTGGGGGATATATCATCATTACAAACATTTCGGTGATACACGTAAATAGTTTGTCCCTCAAAGTCTAACTCTTCCTCTGTCCAACCCTCCCGTTTGAGACCTCTAGCGACCCGATACCAAGCCTCTACAGCTTTCATCAACCCATTGTCCAGCAATAGACCCTCCTTATCTACAAGCAGTTTCCTCCAGAACTCAGGTTGCCGCCTACCACTAGGCGACATTTGGAAACCACATACCTTGGCTATCTTCTTAATTTTCAACATTGCATCCTCCCCTGCTCTTTCTTTTACAATATCACAAGCCAAGAATCCCTTAGCAGGTCTAGCATGTTCCTGCCCCATCTTAATCAAACAAAGAGAGCCACGTGCAAGAGACAGATATATAGAGAAAAAGAAGTAGGAATGTCTACAGTGCTCGACTGCCACGAGGACTTGAGTCCTGTGCGTCTTCCCCAAACGTAGACTAGTCACGAGGGTCCGCCCACCCGAAATGGTGGTCACGAACCGGAGCGAGTGAGCGTGGGTGACTAACACAGCTCTGGGCAACAGACACAGGAGAGGTAGAGAACAAAGGAGAAGATAAACGTGGCAACACTAACCAAAAGGCATTTACAGAAATCACACACTTAGAGATGAGTGTAAACCCCAGAATCTAGGACCAGCCACATGACACACACACACACACCGAGGGTACCCACAGTGTAACAGCAGTTAAACAGAAACCACAAAATGACGGAGAGCAATATGGCCATGTACATATTTAAACAACATACACCAAACAGTGAACAGTGACAATCCCAGCTTTCCTCACTAGGCTGTAACTAAGTAATCCGACCTTTTAACGGATCTACAAGGAAAACATAAAACCCCACCTCCTACTAGGCGGTACCCAGCCTTCCATCGGCTGTAACGCAGCCCCTTAACGGCTGTACTCGATATCCCAACCCTGTTACCCGGGTTGTACCCAGCCCCTTACCGGCTGTACTCAATATCCCAACCCTGTTACCCGGGTTGTACCCAGCCCCTTAGCGGCTGTACTCAATATCCCAACCCTGTTACCCGGGTTGTACCCAGCCCCTTACCGGCTGTATGCGTCCTCTGCCCGCTAGGCAGTCAAGCTAAGATTTTAAAAAGAAAGCACATGCACCGGGCATCACACGCATTCATACAAACACACAGAAGGCAAAAAGACAATCAACAGGTTCATTAAAAAGGGACACCGGATGAGTTATTACCTGTCTCTTGTAGCCTTCTGGAAGCCGGAAGTGGACACGGAGACAGACCGACACAAAACAGGAGAACAACACAGTCAACGGCTGTATTATGGAGGTGATCAGGCTCCGGTTGTCCCACTTTCCGGAGGTCCGCTCCGGTCCGTTGGTTTCCGGCCCTCCGAACCGGCAAATCCGGTGGCCCCACGTTGGGCGCCAATTGAAATGGAAAAATCAATTAATAAATTGATTATTCTTTGTGTATCTGCCCCTGGCCAAATTAAGGAAACAATGCGTACACGCTCCATGAAGTAATTCACACCAGACACAGGTTTCAGGTTGTTGAATAACTTGAGGAATGTTTATTCAGAGGGGACGGCAGGTCCCTTTTAAAGCAGAATTACATCATAAGCATTGTCAGAAATAACATGAAATAATACATCAATAATTGGTTAGGTGTTAAGTGGTCTTCTTAATGCTCTGCCTACTAAAGGTGATGTCACTGGAACCATGAGGGTCTCCCCCGGATTCCAGCGCCATCTTGTTGCACGAGGTAGTTAGTCGGTGTTATAGGGAGGGAGGGGTTAGAAGCTTCTAGTGGCCTTTTTGTCTAAATATGCGTGAAAAGCTTATATACTGATTTCAGCTAAATGAGTAAATAGGCATTTTACTAACTAGAAAATATGTCAATATCTCATTTCCACAACAAACGGTGATGGATCTCCTGTAATCCGACTGACTACTTCTGTCTGCTTCCTCATAGCGATCAAGGACCCTGGAGCACTTTAGACCCAGTTGCCAAGGCTTGACTGGGATCACCGAGGGCCTTTTCCACCCTGAACCAAACACCAGATGACACTTGGTAAAGGTTAAAACAGCAATTTACTTGAATAGACATAGCACACACACGTAAGCCCCCCAACAGCCTCATGTAAATACAATAGGGTACATAAAGCACTATAGTACAAGGAAGGGTGGGGTCAGGTGGGGGATTGAGGAGGGACAGAGCAGCTAGTTTAAACTGGTCTGGCAGTATCCCTGCAACAACGCCCAACGCTGGGGAAACAATAGGACAGGAAAAAGGGGGAGAGGAAGAGGCACAGACAAGCAATATATTCAACACACCCTGCACCAATAATGAGCACAGAGTGAGAAAAACACAAAAGGAATCTGGGGACCCAAACATAGTGTCTGTCTTCCATTCCCAGTGACGGTAACTACTGTCACAGAAACGGACTATGCCGTATTAAAACGAACGACCCATAAGGAATTGCTGGAAGCAAGAGGTCAGATAGCCAGCAATAAAACAAAGTCAACACTGAAAGCAGAGCTAACAGAGGAAGACCGGTCCTCTAACAATACACCCTAAACTATGGAGACTGAATTTGATCGGGAAGTGAAACCCTGGCTAGCTTTTTATGGAGAGAACCCCCCAAGGGAGGTCTTTACAACTACCCTCGCACTAGTAGATACCTACTTCACAGCACAGGCAGAGTGGGAGAACCAACTCCGGTTAGCCAAACGCGCTCCCTAGAGAGACACTATCAGAGAAGGAATTCATGAATCTGACCAGGGCTACCGCCCACTACTATCACACAAAGGCTGCCCCATTTGTCCCCAGGTCCAAATCTTCTGAAGAGCAATGGAGTACCCTCCACGAAGCTGAAACCGATAACCTAGTCCCAGATGCCAACCTAACCAGAGGTTAAGTAGCCGCTCGGGCAGCAGGGGGAGCAGTACATCGGGTACCTGCTGCGAGGGTTCACTTGAATTGGGGTGCCAGGTTAGGGCTGATTGATGTGGGGTTGATGCAGGGACTCCCCAACAACGTCTTGTTGGGGAATGATCACGGCCAGTGGACCTCAGCGTTCCTGCCTTCCCAGGTCACCAGCAGGACCTACCCTGTCACCACCAGGTCCCTGGCCCACACCACGGAGAACCACATGCACTCTGAGGTCCAGGTAGCAAAACCTTCCCAAACCCTTTCACCCCTCCCCTGGGATACCACCACAGAATTTGGGCAGGAAACCCTTAGTGACCCTACCCTTCAGGTATATAGGGATAGCGTGATGAATTCCCAGGCAGGATTAGAGGGAGAGAGATATTCCTGGCACCAAGGGTTATTGTACCGAGACGCAGAGAGAGTCGCGGCCGGAGTTACTCCAGATACCTCACAACACTCCCCAGTCTGGCCACTTAGGGGTCAGCCACACCAAATGCAGCCCTAACCCATTATAGAGGAACCGTCCGGATGGGTAGCAACAGATCTTGTAGGACCCCTATCCAAACAGAGCCCGTCCAGCAAAAAGTATATCCTCACTATGGTCGACTATGCAACCCAGTACCCAGAAGCTGTGGCTCTGATGAACATACACGCAGAGAAAGTGGCTGAGGCTCTGATGCGATTGGGAAAGATCCCTGCCGCACCTCCTATTCGCTTGCAGGGAGGTGCCGCAGGAATCTACAGGATTCTCGCCCTTCAAACTGCTGTTCAGAAAGAGAGTACAGGGACCCCTAGACTTAATATGGGAACACTGGGAGGGAGCAGGATGGTACCCCTATTATACTCAATGTGCTGGAGTTCTGTGACCACTTGGAGGAATTGACTCAAAACGTGCGTACCAACCTCCAGGCAGAGCAGACCCGTCAGTAGACATGTGCATTCGTTTTTGCCCGAATACGATTTCGTCACAAAATTCATTTTTTTTTCGTATTAATTTACTAAAAATGACTAAGAAATATAAATTAAACGAAAGGGCAAATGCTGAATTCATTACCTTTTCGTTTCATTTCTTTCGTTTAATAGACTCCATGCTGCAGCCCGCGCAGCCTGGAGAAAATAACACTGCGCATGTGCGAAAAAAAGAAAAGCAAGGAGAGAGTCAGCAGCGTTACCAGCTCCCTTTTTGTAATAAAACCTATGGGGGTCACTATGATCCCCATATTAATAAAGGAATGTTAAATCCTCCTGCATGAGCCTACTCGCGAGTGCCTACTCGTGAGTGCCTACT